AGTGCTACAGGACCAACCCGGCAGCACCCCAGCTGCTCTGCCCCCGGCTTCACCGATTCAGTTGCTGGTCAGTTTCAGCAGCAGCTGAATTGGGGAAGCCGGGCACAGAGCAGCTCCAATTGTCCGGCTGCCCGGAGCACTTCCAGGTTCCTGATGGTGCCGGACCATTAGGAGTGCTGGAGCATTGGATGCCGGACCAATGAAGTTTTACTGTATTCTGTTTTCTTTAAAAGGACAGATGCTACAAAATACAACAAAGTGTTGTGTAACTGACCAGGCGTGCTTCCACTGGAACTGATGGCAAGTGCTTGCAATGTTGCAGTGCCGTACATCCTCCTCTCTGGTACTCCCATACTTACATACCCCACTATATCCCAGTTTCAAAGTCTCCTTCCAACTGCAGGTTGGACCCCCCAAAACCAGGACTCTCTTGCCTGGCGACATCTGTGGTATTCCTGGACCAGGGAGTCCTGGCTGGGAGTCCCAGTGATAAGAGGGCTGGTGGTTTGGAGCCCGGTGGAGCTGAGGCTGGGACTGGAGCCGGAGCTCTGGCAGCACAGCTGGGGCCATGGCAGGCCCAGTAATGGGGCTAGGGATGTGGCAACTCAAGTAGCAGAGCCGGGGACATGGCAGCTCTGGTAGCAGAGCTGGGGCCGGAGATGTGGCAACCCTGATAGTGAAGCTAGAGCTGGGAATGCGGCAGTCTGGTGGTGGTGGGGGACAACTAAGCCTGGCAGCCGGGAGGACACGTGTGCTGGGGGACTAGTAGCAGGGGACCTCCCCTGGTTTGGCAAATTCTCTTGTTTGGGACTGGTCAGATCTGGAGGGTGCCGGACCAGAGATGTCCAATCTGTAGTGTGTATAATTCTGGAATAGTGATAGAAATGTAGCCGTGTTAGTCTGGGGTAGTTGAAGCAAAATGCAGGACAATGTAGCACTTTAAAGACTAACAAGATGGTTTATTAGATGATGAGCTTTCGTGGGCCAGACCCACTTCCTCAGATCAAATAGTGGAAGAAAGTAGTCACAACCATATATAATTCTGGAGTCTCTTCCCTTGACAATCACAAAGAACATGCTGCTCATGTGCTTCTCTGTCTCCTACATCAATTCACCAAGCTTCTATATCAATTCACCTGGGTTTGTATTTTACACATGATACATCTCCTTCATAGAACAACCTTTTACATTTGAAACAACAGGAACTATTGTAAGACCATACTGAGCCTTTTCTCCCAACATGTGATTTAGTGATGGAAAGGCTTGTAGAGCAGAGATCATACACAGCAGCAGAATAATTACAGCTACTTTTGTTGATACAACTATTTTCTCATTTTTCTACTACTTGGTCTGCATATAGCTTCATAGGACAGGACATTACCCTAAACCCAAAGGAGTTTTTGAGGAAGAACTTGTGTGCTCTTTATCCCTGTTTACAGTTGTAACTAACTGAAACCAGAGCAGGGAAAACCATGAAAATTCCCCAACCCTTCTGAGCATGCAAAACTGACCAACAGGAACTGGAAATGGGGATAAATGTCACAAGAAATAGGTGTAGATAGAAGAACCTGACAAAGGGCTGGCGCTTACGATAATCTAGTCAGAAAATAAAACAATTCACTATTAATGTTGTGTTCCTATTACTGCATTCTCCTGAGAAGTAGGCTATATAAGAATAGTCAACGTACACACAAATCTTAGAAAGTGGGGAGCGTCTTGCATGGCACCTTTATAGCATACTGTTCCTAGACAGATTCTAGATTTATGTAGGCACTGGAGTCCTTCTAGCTACTCGCTCAGCCATATCTACCTACCATTGAACTTTGTTCCCAACATTTTCTCTCTCACTCACACTTAGTAAAACACAGCAAACTCTAAACACTTTCTCTCTTCTAAGTGAGCTATGAAACACAATGAATTTTCCACAAATTGTAACAGTAAATTTGTCAAGTGCCATTCATGCTTAGTAAACATGAATTCACTTACACAATTCCACAAGATCGCTTAGAAACTGCAAACAAATGTATTTGATTGTTACATGAATGACAATTTATAAGAGAAGAAACAAATGTTTGTTTACTTAGATGTATAAGATTTGACCATTTGCTTAATTCTCTATGAAAATTTGCAGTATACAGTTAGTCAAATGGCACCAAAAATCTATAACAAGTATGCAATATTAGCAGAGAACATTTTTATTTCACTGAAATATAAAAACAAAGATAAAAACAAATGTAAACCCTTATTCACAGAGGCAATGCATGGGGGTGGGGGAGGAGCAAGAGGGGTCACCTTCCCTTCCCCTGATTTCTCTCTGGGTTTTAATGCCATGCACTGAACCCCACTGTTTACCACACAAACCTTTAAATTGTGACCCCCTTATGAACAGTTATGTGTGGTCTCTGCTTAATCACTAACATTTAAACAATTATTGTTGTCCCAGTAAGCTGACTTACTATAGTTTAAAAAGGAAATTGAGAGTGAAGATTATTGCCCTCATTCAACAGATCTCATATTAATGTACCACTTCTCAGATATTTTTATGGCAATCAATTTTCTTTTTTTAAAAAAGACCAAGTTTAAAAGAGCCACCATCTTCCTCCTCCTTCCCCCAAAAGGCCACTTCTTGGCAAGTGATTCTAAGTGCATCAGAGGGTTACTCATGTATCACTAAACATTCCACATATAGGCTACATACATTTTGACACAATATTCTCATGACAGGGAGACATGCTTTCTGATTTCTTCAACTAATATCCTCAGCCCACAAAGTGCAGCCATTTTAATATTATCATGAATATTTTACATTACATAACTTTATGAAAACAGTTGATATGCATTAATAAACTGCAACAGCCACCCAATATAAAGATTTGTAAAATAGAGGTCCAGTTCATAACATTATGGATTACAAAATGTAATTTTAATAGAAATTCATTGTAGCCATAAGAATAAGCCTCCCTTTCAAGCCCTCTTCAAATTGCAAAAAGGAAAAATTGTTTGTTTTGCTGTCCTTCAAGCAGAGATTAATTTGACTAAAGGATTTTCTTCACATTCTGAAAAAGGAATCCTTTTATAATTTAAAAACTTTGCATTCAAGTCTCATCCCAAAGAAAAAACAGAACACAACATGATTCTAGACTCCTGAAACTAACACTTAACATAAAAATGCTCTCAGACGACCCTTAGTTTTACTGTCATGTTGTCAAAAATACAATCAAAACATTATGTACAGTTTTATGTCTGTGGTTTTATATTTTACAGCATTAAAAACTAGTTTGTATACAAACGAATTCCTCATACTGAAGGCTAATTTTTTTAAATGAAATTGTCTTTAATTACTTCAGGCATTTTTTAGATACTGGAACAGATTCTGATCTAAACTGAATCAATGTAAATCTAGAACAACTAAATTGTATTGTTACTTCACAGTAATTTTTGTCAGAATATAAACTACTAACATTTTCTACTGAAAAATGTAAAATCCTATACTTTCTTGAGTTTGCTCTATTAGTCATTTCACATTTCTATAATGATATTTTAATATTACAATAGAACCTCACTCATTTGCATTTTGCTTCATGTGAACATTCCATAATTTACACACATGAAGTTGTCTTCTTTCCTTACATCTCACCAAACATGTAACAGAGGCTCAGGTGAGATATCATACGGCCAATTTCTCTGACAAAATGAATTACAAAATATAAAGTATAAATACTTAAAACTAAACTGACCTTGTAAAATAAAAGAACACTAATGCTGTATCTACTTATTTACTAGCTATTCTCGATAGAAAATATAAGGAGGTATTAGGACTACTGTAAATACTTTCATCTACCTATGGCAATATAGGTATTGTTTTCAAAAATGACAATTATCCATTTTGTGATATGTTGTACATGGCTTTATAGCTGAGTTTGCTAATTCACAAAATTCAGTAATTTCTTAATGGGCCTTCTAGTCATGAGAAGAAATTAAATCTCAGTCCAACAATGTTTTTAGTCTCACTAAAAAGACAGTTAGACTATAAACTTGTGAATTTTTCACATGAACACATCAATGGAACAATTAATGTGCTTAAAGCTAAGACCATACAGAAATAACTGTTGAATTCTGGGTGGTAATGTTCTACTGTAATATTTCATAAAATAAGACATGAATAATTTTAGTTCTATATAAAACAAAGAGCCTTCAATTGTAAAATAACATACAATTTATGCTTTTTGGTGTGTTGTAGCTCATATAATATTGATGGGCATAATTAAAAATTACCTCAGGTATACCCAGTTTCCTACATGCATCCAGGAAGTTTTCCACATTTCTTCTACATTTGGCCATGCTAAGTTTAGGCTGCAAAAACAAGAAACCAGAGATTAATGCAACAGACATTAACAATGTACAGGAGCCATCATAAAATTCTGCCTATTATATAATGTTTCTACTGCCGAGGCAATATTGAAGTGCGACTGTTCCTGTTGGTAAGCTACCTCCCACTGGCCCAGGCACTCTATATACTCTTTTTTATGCAGATACATTCAGGAAAGTGAAAAAGCTCATGTGGATTCTCTCATCCAGTACAGGCAGTCCCCGACTTATGTCGGATCCACAGTTACGAACGCGGCTTTTCTCGCCCCGGAGGACACGGACAGCGGGACAACGGGCAGCGGGACCAGGAAGACGCGGAGCAAAGCCGCGGAGGGGCTCGGGCAGCCGGGCAGCCTGGGGCTGTTGCCGGG